AAGACAGTGTTCTATTGGGGAGACAGCACTGGAAAATGACAGGTTTCTTAAAAGCATCAATAAGATTTTTCAAGGTACATATGAACGATTGTGAGATACTAAAGAGATTGATTAACAGGCACAGGGCAGTGTCTTTTTGGAATGGCTTGATTTTAGTCCTGCATGGGGGTGGGGATGGAGATGGGGGTGACAGTCTTTCTAGCTCTTGTATAACCTGCCGCCCCTTACCCAGGTCAGGGCCCCAGCAAGAAAGCTGCCAAGCACAAAGCAGCTGAGGTGGCCCTCAAGCACTTGAAGGGAGAAAACATGTTGGAGCCGTTTCTGGAGGATGGAAGGTGAGGTGTGTCCAAGTAATTTTTGAGCCCTTGGGAAGGCTGCCCTGCCCATTCAAGCACCAGTTACTACTTGAGCCAACAATATGCAGTTTGATCTCCTCCATGCATCTGCCATCTACCAATAGCCAAGTCGCCTCCCATGGCATAAATAGGCGGCTCCAAGGACCACTCCTTGGGTGTTCAGACTCTTCATTTAGCCTTGAAACTTGAGTTCTTAGTCTAATAGGGGATAGCCTCCAAACTAAACTCCTTTTTCCTCGTTGTTTACTTTAGACAGTGATGGAGTCTTAGAACAGTGGTCATTCATGTTGGCTGAGCTGAGCCCCTGTGGAGGGCCTTGTTGTTTTAGTTGTTTTCAGTTGTGTTCGACTCTTCCGTGATCCCATTTGGGCTTTCTTGGCAAAGATACTGGAGTGGTTTGCCATTTTCTTCTCCAGCTCATTTTACAGTTGAGGGAATTGAGGCAAACAGGGTTAAGTGACTTGCCCAGGGTTACACAGTAGGTGAGTCTTCCTGACTCCAGACCCAGTGCTCCATCTACTGCACTGCCCAGCTGCCCATAGGAAAGGTCCTTAGGGAGGGTAATTGTTTGAGAAGGTTGATTCCCATAGGAACCCCTGCCCTGTCAAGTATTCACTCTTATCCTACCAGTCTAAATATTCTAAAAATGCTGAATTCTAAACACTTCAAAAATTTTAAATACCTCCTTTGGCTCTTTGGGCAGGAAAACTTCTGCCTTTCATTGCGTGGCCATTGGCTTTGGCTTCTTTTGGGCTGGGAAGGAATTTAGGGTTCCTCGTGACAGGTGAGAAGACAGTACAGGATGTGGATGAACAGGTTCCTCTACTCCTTGGGAAGTTCTCTTCTTTCCTTAGAATGCCTGCTATCTACTGTTGCCCATTCCACTTCCCACCTCGCCATGGCAGTGAGCTCCAAGGCATGAAGGGGCTGGGAAGTGGTTCACCTCCTGTCTTGGGCCAGCCCTTTTCCAGCTCCAGCAGGCTAAGACTGAGATGAAGCCGTCCTGTCTATCCTTGCCTCATAGCGATGTTCAGCAGTGTTGATGGGATCCTTGGGGGGAAGAGTGGTGGAGCTGATACCAGCAAGTAGAGTTGGGGGCAGGAAGATTTGCGTGTGTCCTGTAGAGATGGGCTATTTCCACGCTCTGCTCTTTGGGACTAGAGATGTTTGGTCTGGGACTGATGGTGCCCATGAGTGGTAACACACAGACTTTCTCTCTCCTCTCTTTGGTCAGAATATGTACCATATTCTCAAATCTAAAGTCTACAGATCTTAAAAATAGCTATTTCACAGGGAGCAGAGGAGTCTTCACTCATGATGTGATAGTACGTCCTGTTTCTCAGGGTGGGAAAGCCTGTTTTCAGTGGCAGGGAGGGACCTAAGGTCAGATGTTTGAAAGGACTTGCCCATTAGGGCTGAGAGAGGCTGAAACTGGGGTATGGGGAGGAGGAGATGTGAGGAAGGAGGCCAGATGATATTTGAGTCTTGGGATAGGGTCTGCAGACTGTGGTAGATGAGAATTGGCTGAAGGAACGTGGGATATTTAGCCTGGAAAAAGAACATGTCATGTGGAAGGCGGAGGATGTTACCTAGACCTGTCCTGCGTGGCCCCAGAGGGTGCCTGCATGGACGCAAGTTGCAGAGAGACAGATTTCTGGTCCATGGAAGGGAAAACCTCCAAATGATGAGAGCTCGGTGGAAGAGGGATGAGCTGCCTTGGGGCATGGTGGGCTTTCCTTCACTGGAGGCTGGACCAGCCTTTGCTTGGGCTGCCTGACTTTGGAGGACCATTCCACCTCTGAGATTTTGTGAGGCCTTATCTCTGACTTTAGCTCCACTTATATCCATCCTAGGAGCCCCCCAGTGGAGGTCAAGGCCCCTGTTTCTCCTCAGCAGTCTGAATGTAACCCTGTGGGGGCTTTACAGGTATGTTCTTTCTCTTTCCTCTGCTCTCCACTGGGTTTCAATCAGCTTGTTTTTTTTTCTTTTCTTTTTGGGCAAGGCAATTTGGGTTAAGTGACTTGCCCAGGGTCACACAACTAGTAAGTGTTGTGTGTCTGAGGCTGGATTTGAACTCAGGTCCTCCTGACTCCAAGGCCAGAGCTCTAGCCACTGTGCCACCTAGCTGCCCCCCTCAATCAGCTTCTTTTTGTGTTGCTGAGATTGGGGTGGTAAATTACCCTGACTTTGGTGTTTCAGGGTTGTTAGTCTCTGATTTGGGAGGGGCATGGGCAGCTTTTGGGTTCCCCTCCTGCCCAGAACCCCAGGCCCTTGGGGAGTGTGGCAAGAAGCATGCTAGTACCCAAAAGGGAAGGTTAGCTTCTTCCTCTTCCTCTCCCCGCTCCATTCCAACCCCAGGAGCTGGTGGTACAGAAAGGCTGGCGGCTGCCTGAGTACACAGTGACCCAGGAATCGGGCCCAGCGCACCGGAAAGAGTTCACCATGACCTGCCGGGTGGAACGTTTCATCGAGATTGGTGATTCGGGAGGCTTGGGGGTGTTTGACCAGGGACGGGGACTCATGTGTCTCAGGACCCTGCCTCTGATTTCTGTCCTCTTAACCCCTTCTGCCTTCAGAGCCCCCCAGCTCGCAGACATTCCTGCTATCTCATCCATTCTTCCCTTCTTTTTTCATCTCCTAACTGCTGTCCTAGTGGCTCTCCCCTAGCTTCTTCAGTGCACCCATTTCTTTCCTGGATCTCCTTCCCATTTTCTTGGTCTCTGGGCCTCCAGGCCCCGAGGTGACTAGCCCTTCCCCTCCCCATCATTTCCAGCCCCTAGCAATAATCTGGCCCGTCTTGGAGGAAGAGATATCATAGTGTGAGGCATCCTGGGATCCACACTACTTCTCAGCACCCTGAGGGTGGGAGGTTTCGGCCAGACTGGGGATAGTAGTCCAGGCTGGTCGTCTCATCTCTGTTCCCCCAGGCAGTGGCACCTCCAAGAAACTGGCCAAGCGCAATGCAGCCGCCAAGATGCTATTGAGGGTACACACCGTGCCCCTGGATCCCAGGGATGGGCCTGAGGCTGAGCCTGACGATGACCACTTCTCCATCGTGAGTGTCCGTTCCCTGGGCCCTGTGGGAATCTGGGCCTGACGAGCTTGGCCCTCCCCTTTGCCTCTCTCCCACTCAGGGTCAGACAGGGAGCACAGACAGGGACCTTAGCAAGATCATTGAATCTGCCTCCCCTGGTTTCCCCTCTGTGGGAGAATTGGAGTGTTTGGTCCTGGTGTGGGTTTAGTCACGCTCAGGCCTCCCGTGTCCCTTCTGACCCCTAACGGGTGTCAGCATGCTGTATTAGACCAGGGCACACAGAGGGGTGAAGCACCACTTTTCTCACAACAGGCAGTGCAGAGAGAGAGAGAGAGAGCTGTCCCCATTTTAAGCCTAAGAAGGTTCCTGACTTGCTCTGGGCCTGATATGTCACAGAGCTTGTGGGGGTTGGAGAGTGGTGCAGGGGCTGAAGAAGACAGTGGGCAGTGAGGTTGGGTGGTGGCAGTTGTTAAGTGTGGAGCATTCAGTGGCTGGGTCCAGTCCCCTCTGAGGACACACTCCTCTCTTTCTGTCAGGGTATTGGCTCCCGCATGGACGGCCTTCGCGGCCGCAGCCCAGGCTGCACCTGGGACTCTCTCCGCAATTCGGCTGGGGAGAAGATCCTGTCCCTGCGAAGCTGCCCCCTTGGCTCCCTGGGCCCTGGCTGTTGCAGTGTGCTCAGTGAGCTTTCTGAGGAACAGGCCTTCCATGTCAGCTACCTGGACATCGGTATGGTGGGGAGGGTGGCTCGGGTGCAGCTAGGGCCAGGGTGAGAGGGGAGTGATAGAATTTGCAGTAGGGGAGGACCAGCGTGAGGCCAGTGGTTCCCCTCTGCCTCCCTTCTCTCTCTTCTTCTTCAGATGAGCTGAGTTTGAGCGGGCTCTGTCAGTGCCTGGTGGAACTGTCTACACAGCCAGCCACGGTGTGCCATGGCTCAGCACCCACCCGGGAAGCTGCCCGTGGGGAGGCTGCCCGCCACGCTCTGCAGTACCTCAAGATCATGGCCGGGGGCAAGTGAGTTCTCTTGGCCAGACTCTTGGCCGTAGCCGGCTCTCTGTCTACACCCTGCACCCACTGCCGGCTCAGCCCCTCTGTGATTCAGGGACTGGGCTTCCAGCTCTGGTGCCTAGTAGAGGTACCTTTTCTACCTCTGATACAGACTCTGTCTGCCTTGAGGCCTGGGGCTGGGGGGAGCCATGGGCCTGCGCCTTTCCTTGAATTCCTGTTCATGTTACTTATGAAATTGGGTGATTGGGGAGAGGCCCCTCCTATTTATCTCCTCAGAATAAACATGGTTCTCCAATTGCTTTGTTAATGGTGGTGGTGTCTGTGTCTCCCAGGGCTGCGGAATGGGAGGGAGGAGATGTCTTTATTTGCTTATGGTTCCCCCCCCCACTTCCTTTTCCCCTTTCTTTGTTTCCCTTGCTTCTCTTTTACTTCATCTTTTCAGAAGTTTTGGAGGGGTGAGGGTGGGGGTGTTGTCAGCCCATCTCATGGTGCCTGTAGTAGTCTAAGGAGAGGCTGTTACGGCTGTTACTGTTGGGGTAATGGGGAAGGGGACAGTTCCCAACCTTCAAAGCCAGACACAGACAGAGACAATATATCTGGTAGTAAGATGCTTTTATTAGGACACATAGCACGTATGTGGGCTTTGCATGCACAAACATGTCTGTTGAACGCAACATCACTTTTTCCCAAAGCGTTGTGGGGCAGCCAGGCTCCAGAACAGAGGATTCGGTCCCTCCTTAGCCTGGGGACTCAGCCACTGTCTGCCGGGGCTCCTCTGGGCATCCCGGCCAAACCTGTGAAGACAGTCATCTTGAGCTAGCCAACCGTGTCCCTTCTCACATTTCTTTCCTTCACTACTCTCCCTGCCACCCCCAGCCCCTGATTTATCCAGCTCTCCCCTTTTGGACTCTCACCTCTGGGGCTGGAACAGAAAGGCTGGGCTCCGGCCGGGTCTCTGCATGGTTTGTAGCAAGGACCGCAGAAGAGCTGCAGGTGTCTGGGCGTCCGGTCTACAGGGGGGTCCGTTCTCTTCCTCCTACAGCCCAGTGGGCAGCAGGGATTGTGACAGATGAAGGAGCGGGCTGAGGGAGGGCTGACAAAAGCTGACTCATGCGAGAGGGCTGGGGAGGGCCCTGTACAAAAGGGTCTTCCTCAGGAGCCGGGGCTGGATCCCAGGTGGAATGGGAAGGTGATCTTAATGAGAATGCCCTCCCTGCTTCTGGACGCTGGGGAGAACTGGCAAGATGGAAGACTTGAATTCAGCCCTTAAGCCCCTTGCTCCTGCTTTCACCTTGGGAAGCCAGTGCTGATGGACGTTCACTTACCATGAAAAGATGGTCCCCAGGTCCCTCCCTGGTGCTCTCTGGTGCTTCAGTGTGGCCCCGGCCCAGCAGCAGCACCAGCAGCACCGCCAGTCGGCCAGCATCCATGTTGCCTTCTCTCTCTCTCTCTCCTGTCTGTCTGCCCCACCCGCCTCTTATACCTGCTGTCCCCCCGAAGAGGAGGTGGGGGGGGGCGCGCTGAGCTGGCAGCGGAAATGCTTAGCCCCATTAAGGGCCACCTGGGATCCCCCTCCCATGGCACTCCTGGGACTTTGAGCTCTCAGCCCCAGGCCCTCAGCCCCTGAGCCTGAAGCTCTTGACTTTATTAAACACTTAAATCTTGTCTCCAGAGCTTAAGAAACTCATTAATTGCAGGCATTTTGTCAAAGTCTGGCCATTCTTCAACAAGTTGGAAAGCTCTGACTGATTGGTTGCTCCCCGCCCCCTACATCCTCACTTCCAGAAGACATTCAGGGAGAAGCGGGGTTGGGAGCCTGCATTGGAAGGACTAGGAATGGAGGGTTTAATTTGGAAAAGGGGGGAGCAGCATTGGGACAGAAACAAAGTTCTAACCATGGTTGGTGGGGAGCCCCCCCCCCAATTTTGACTGGATTAAAGATAGGGGGCTGGATTTAATGACCTGGTGGTTTCTGGGGACTCCTCCTAAATCACCACGCTGACCCACGTGAGGGGAGGAGGAGGAGGAGGGTCTGAAGACAAGATCTGGGCCCTACGCTCCCCAATGGCAGCTTTTCTCTCTACTGTATCCTCTTCTGGACCTGTGGCTGGGAGTCAGGATGACAGAATCCTTCAAGGGAATCTACTGCTTTGGGATCACCAGAGGATGGGAAAGTATGGTTTAGGAGACATCTGCATTTGGGGGATGCAGTCCATCCAGTTTTTGTATAGGGTACCCTGTTGGAGAGAATTCAGGGAAAGAGCTTCTTAACCTACTCGTGCTTCCCACCTCCAAGCACAGGTGGAGTTTTGCTGCCACCCAGTGGCTACTGCTCCTCATTGCAGGGCCACGGATGCTCCTTGCTCAAGCACTCATTGCGGCAGGTAGATGCCTTTTTGCATCTTGTGCGATTCCTGCTCATACATGTCTGTGAATCCTGGAGTAGGAGGCTTTTCTGGTCCCCTCTCCACCCCACCCCCTTTAAAAGAAACATTGAGGAGATACCATCCATCTATTAATCCTTAATCTTGCTAATTGAATGGCCTACATCTCACCTCTGATGGTCTCATATATTTATATATTTCTTTGCATTGCCCACTGGGAAACCTGAAAAATGTTATATAGTATTTTTACAGAATTCAACTCAGGGGGAGGGTTAAAAGATAGATGTGAAAATTGGAATCCTCTTTCTTTCCAAGGCCTTTACAACTCTAGCCCCTTGATGATTAGGGACTGTTCAGGGTTCCAGGGACTGTCCTGATTAGTTAAGACCCTCTGGCTGGCTTAGAAACATAGGGCCTTTCCTATTTCTAAGGGAAGGCGACACTCCTTCGGGACTCAAGTCCGATGAGTGAGTTCTTGCATCATGCTTTGATCCTGTCTGCTGCACTGTAAAACTCATTCCCCGTTTATTCTGGTCTCTGGTGAAGACAGGAAGAAGGCACTATGTGTCTCTTAGCCCTGCACTATAACAAGCTGTACGTTTCTGAGAGCAAGAGAAAGACCATCTAGTCCAGTCCCTTCATTTACAGGTAAAGAATCTGAGGCCCAATATAACCAAAGTCACTTGTCCAAGGTCCAACTGTGCAATGAGTGAGGATTCAAACCCTTCCCCTCCACCACTTGTATTTGGAAATATTCTCTCTCCCCCAGAGAACATCATCTCCTAGAGAGCAATGATTGCTCGTTGTGTGCCCAGCACCCAGCCCACTGCTTCATGGTATGTGCTCATTAAATGCTTTAACTGTGTTGATGAAGGCCCTTAGAGCGGTTGGCCCTTGTCTGTGGTTGTGGTGGTTTCTGTACTCCTCGACCTCACCAAGCTGACAGCTGAGCGTAGTCTGATGCTTCCACCCAAGGCAAAGCTTTGGGGGTAGTTGCTCACTAGTGGGGGTGGTTAGAAGATGGGCCCTGAAAGCACTCGACCACACTACTCCTTAGCCCTTCCTTCCTCTGGTTGGTGGTTCAGGTGACTGGGAGACTGCTCAGTGGGTGATCTCACTGGGTCCACGAGGTACTCTGTTTAACAAGAGGGCCTCGATCTGAGTTCTAGCCATATGCTGTTTTGTTGGTTGCACAAATAATTACCTCCTCTGGACTCTGTTTCCTGGTCTGCAAACTGAGGAACAAAATCCCTCCTCCTTCTCCCTTCAGGGATAGGATGTGAGAGAACATGGACATAAGGTGCTTTTCAGTTGCAGTAAAGCATGGTGGACAGTTGAATGATTTTACCTGGCTATTAAAGCAGTAGCAGAACACACAATCACTTCTCTTGTTAATAGTTTAATGTTATATTTGCAGCATTAAATAAGGCACAATATATGTAGGGAAAGGAGGGGAAGGGATAATGGCTATGAGGAAACAGCTAGGAGGCAAAGGAGAGGAAACTTGGGAAGAGCAGAGTGAAGTCCTTGCCCAGTCCCCTTCCTGGGAGTTTGTGAGAGCCTGCTCACAGGGTATTTCTGTCATGCAGATTTTGGGAGCGGAGGGGAGGGACGGGGAAGAAGAAATTTCTTGGTAATAAAATAGCTGGCAGCACAACCCACCCCCCTGGCAGCTCACTTTTGAGGGTAGGGGAAACCTGGAAACAGAGAAGAGCCCCTTGTCTAGGGAGAGGGGGTTAGATGGGAAGATATGATTACATGTCAAGGATATATAGATGTATGGAGATACAGTTTTTAGATATGCAGTGTTTCCTTTTAGAGAGACCCAACATCATGACATTGCAATTTCTTTCCTTCATGGCAGGCACTAAAGCTCCCCTACTCTCCACCTTGCCCCCAGACTGAAAAGGCTGTTTTCTATGTGTTCTAGGGAGATACAAGATAGCACACCTGGCCCTAACCAAACACTAGTAGGGGAAGGAGAGACCAATCTTCCCAAACCACCTTCTACCTTAAGACTTTTCTTTTGGAGTAAAAATGTCATAGTGGTAGGGGCTGAGAAACCATGAGTAGGATTTAACACAAACCAAAAAAGGAGTAAAACTTCACTTATGGGAACGCCAAGTATCATGTTGCTCCTGGCCACTCCTCTAACTTTAAAATGTATTCTTTCATAGCAAGCGACTGATTAGGCAGCAGGCCACCCTTCCCTGCTTCCCCTCCCTCCAGCCCCCTGGTCCTCAAATGTGTGGTGAGCACCTCTCAACCACTCTAGGGCCGGGACCTTCAACAAAAAGCCTGAATGATAGATTGACTCAAGGCAGACTTGGGGACTGAACTTCCTAGTTTGTTTGGGGGAGGGGGGAGAAGAGAGAAAGAAGAGCTGGAGAAGATTATCTCAAAAATAAAAACAAAAACCCCCCGAAAAGAAAAAAGAAACCAGCCCTGGTCTGGCCTGGGGCAGTTTTCTCCAGCTTCCCATCCCATTCCCTCACATGTTCTTGGACACAAAAGAAGTCCAAAGAAAGCAGCAAGCACATCAACAAAGGCATATGTACGCAATACAGAAGACTGAATTCTAAACAGGTTATGAGGATAAAAAACAAAGATACTATTTCCATTCGGTGTATACAATGTACAATATTAATAGAAAATCATTGCAAGGGTGGGGCGTGGGGTGGGGTTAGAGCAAACCCAATAAGGTTGCTCTCTGGCAAGGCCTGTGTCCTAGGAGTTTTAAAGGAGCCTCTCACTGTTGAGCTAGGAGGAAGATTATGGAGAAGGCCCTCTGAAGCCCCAGGAAGAATTCAGTATGGGTGCAAGTAGGGGAACTGATGTCTGTCTGTCTGTCTCTCTGGAGAGCTGGGATGGCGTAGAGGAAGGGTTCCCTCCCCGGGCAGGGAGGCATGGAGCTGGCTGGTAGTGAATGTTGAGAGGAAGAACCAAGGAGGAGAGCTCATGAGGAACAAGACAGGAGCGGGCTGAAGAAGCTGGCACCACCTCACCCCATGGTACAACCTAGTGGTTAGAGCCAAAGAGTTCAGGTTTGAGTTTCATGGTGGAGGTGCTGTGGGGCTGGTCAGAGAAGTCAAGGTAATCTTTGGGTATACAAATCAGGCAGAAGATGAGGCAGGGTGGAGACAGATGCCATTCCTGCTGCCAGTCTTAAGACTCGAATTGTCAACATGGCAGTCAAGGGAGAGGGTGTCTAGGGCATTCCTGATTCTTCTGGTGGGAGAAACTCTCCAAGGCTCTGCTCTTCCTCCAAATAAAATCTTTCATGGGGAGAGGAAGGCTGTATCTTTGGGAGTTGTGGCCCCATGGCTCAGCACTTTTTCTCTATGACTTCTGAAGCTTAAGGAGCTATGCTTGGTAAGTGGGGGCTTGTCCTTCACACAGCTATTCTGCTAGGGATGTCTGCCCCTCCTCTGGGACAGCCGCTAAGAACTACTGTCTCAGGTCTCAGGGTCTGGGTGTCCTCTCCCCGATGGTCATGGAACCCTGGGGGCAGTCTCAGGCTCCCCTTGGCAAGATGATGACTCTCGCTGCAACAAGCAAAGTGAAGCCGCCGCAGGCTAAAAGGAAGGTGTTAGCATAAGCAGCTGCTCTTGCGTTCTAATGCCGCTGAGGTGTTCACCAACTCTGGTCCTGTCAGAGCTGCTGCCCCTCCCATGCCCATCCCTGGGGCTCTTGTGTGGAGGGGCACTCTGCGGGTTCTGGAAGGAGGGTGAGAAAAGGAGAAAAAGAACCCGAGTGGTGCAGACAGCTGTGGTGTTCCCTACTCTGCATGTGCTTTTCTTGAGCTATGGAGTATAGGCACACCAGGATTTGGGGTTGGGCCTGGGGGAGGGAAAAGGGGTCAATAATATACTCCCAAACCAACCTCCAAGATGGAGAGAGAAGGGCAGGAGCCACACCCTCTTCTTTGGTAAAATGAGGTGCCAGCACTACAGAACAGAGGCACCTGATCTTGGGAAGATCCTCAATTTTAAAAGCATTTCATGTGGGGAGCCAGCCAGGGTCTATGGAGCTCCTTAGGATCCATAAAGGCAGCCAGGCTTCACAGCATGGCTGTCAGTGCTAAGCTAAAAAAAGAAAAACAAAACAGAAAATTCCAAGGTAGGAAAAAGGGCCCTAAAGTACTTGCTGAAGGGATGCTGAAAATGAGTTACGACTTTGAGTATCTGAAGAAGGCCAAGCCGGCAGAGATGAGGAGCCAGAGGCTATGACTGATCTCCTGGCTGCAACTGTGACACCTGCAGCTTTCTGAGTCATTGAAAGAACTGTCTTTGTAGGGTCCTTGACCCCAGGAGGAAGAGAAAATTGTCTCCATACTGTGTGTTGGCTTTCTCAGCTTTGGGCCTGAAAAACATCTGGGTAAGTTCAAAAAGGAGCAGACTGCAGCCCCTGAATTGCGACCTGGCTTATGTGTAATCTGGGGAGAAAGGAGTGAAAAATGTCACCCTAACTCTCCATGGCAGCTGTTTCGGGAGCTAAGCCCATCTCCCAGAGGGCAAGAGGGGAAGGGGGCTCTGGTGACTCAGGGAGACAGCAGCAGCTGGAAGGCTTCCCCGTAGATGGCCACCTTTAGCCCTGCGACAATATTGCATAGTTAGTTCAGGGAAGACCAGAAGTCACATAAGAGGCTGGGAGTAGGGAGAGGATTCCTCCTTGCAGTCTAACCCTACCTGTGAAAGGCTGAGGTTTCCCGAGCAGCCAAGTACCCACCTGAGACAACATTCCATCGTACCCAAGAAAACCCCACATCATGGCCCAGCCTCTCAGGCCAAAGGAGCCCTGGGACTCTGGGCCCCTGATGAGGGAAGGCAGCGAGAGCTGGGCAATGATGGGAGCAGCAAGGGACGGAGAGCTGGCCTGTGAAGATGGCGGTGAATGAGAAGGAAGAAGCTGAGCAGGATGGGTATTTCAGAGTGTAAAGATCTAGCTGGATATGTGAAGTTGAAAGATGGGCAAGGACTAAGAAACAATTTAGGAAACACAGGTTTCTGTAAACATACCAACCAACCTTGGTGTTGGGCTGCTTTTAGCTGCAGACTTATGGAAGGAGAGCTAGAGAAAATAGTGTGGATAGGAAGAAAGTGAGAGGGGGAGGAATCAGCAGAGATACAGACATGCACATGCACATTGGCCAGTTAACTGCTGCAAAAGGTAGAGAAGCTAGTATCTTAAGGACTTTGTGGAAGAAATTTTAAATTGCATCTTCTGTAGACATTTATGGCTCCATCATGTCCCAACAATTTGAGCTGAGGTATGGGGGGGAAAACAAGAAGTCAGCTCTGGGAATCCTCTCCCTTCCCCCTTGAAGGCAAAGCTTAACAATTTAAGGCCACAAGACGAGGTTGCCAAGGCTTATTGAGGAGATGAAAAGGAAAGCCCATTTGGGCAACCCAAGATTCTTAATTTGGAACTATTTGAACTGGTGGTGGTGGGACAATGCTGGTGGCTTTTGGGGACCAAGCTAGGCTCTGAGTCCAGAGAGGGCATGGGCACAGGAAGGGAGCTGGATGGGACAGTGTTCTCCAGTCAGACCCCCCCTGCTTTGTTCTTCTGGCAGTCTGCTTAGGCTTGAAAAGGTGACTGCTACAGTTTGGTAGAAGGGAAGAGAACAGAAAGACTCTCCCAATCTGGTGGCAGACAGGTTAGTGTTAAACTGGTGGGCATGTGTACACTACAGGGGGCTTGGAGAGGTGTTATTTCCACCACTGAGGAAGACCTTTTGCAATAGGGGGATGAGAAACCACCTTGGGGTGTTAGGTGGGAGTGATCTGATGCTTTGGGGCTGAAGGCCCCTTAGAGTACACGGGTCAGATGTGTACGACCCATGCAGATGAACAGAGTAACTCCATAACTGTCCTTTACTCACTTAAAACACAATTTCCCCCCCTGCCATCCCATGTGCAAGGCAGGTAGGAGGAGAGGGTATGATGTCTCTCTCAGCTTTTGGGTGGGCAAGCTCTGGCCAGGGACCTCTCCACTGGACGAGGCATCATCTGCCCGCAGACTGTGACTGTGGGGTCATGATCACATGCGACTGTATGGGCATGTTCAATTCTGTCCTTTGGCTGGCCATCTGAGTGAGGACTGACGTGGCAATGGCTTCGGCGGCAGAGCGGACACTGAGGCCGTTGCTAGCAGCTGTTGCTGAGCTGTGCTGGATCACTGGGGCTGGGGAACCCGTGGGCTCTGAGCTCTCCTTGGGGCTTTCTGCTAGGAATAAAGGAGGGAAGGGGGAAAAGAAAAGAACTGAAATTAGAACAGACAAGGGAGACAGACAGGGCTAGCCTCTCCCCTGTCTGCCCAAAGAGGTCAGAGAAAACGAAAAGTTTAATAAGAGGAGAAACAAATAGGCCACTGCCTGCGTATGATTCTGAATGCCCAAAACACTTCTTCACTGGGTCTCTGTTACCATCTAAGAAGAGTGCGTTCCATGCTGCCTATCCTTACCTGGAGCAGAGCTGGAAAAATATAAACAGGGTACAGACCAATATGGATGCTCTGTTCTAGTCAAGCTTATCTAATCTCTATTCCCACCCAGGTAGCTGGTGGTGCAGTGGAGAGAGCAAAGGACCTGAAGTCAAGCTGACCTAAGTTCAAATCTAGCCTCAGACACTAGCATACTAGCTGTATGACCCTGAGCAAGTCACGTAACACTGCCTCAGTTTCTTCATCTGTAAAATGAAGATAACAATAGCATCTACCTCCCAGGGTTGTTATATGGATCAGATGAGATAATAAAGGGCTACATAAGTGTCAGCTGTTACTGCTATTAACAAGTTGTTACCCCCAGGTTTTGACACACTTATTCCTTCTATCCACGTTCCAGTCCCAAAAGGCATTTTAAAACAATTATGTCCTTCAGGAAATTTTTGATGATTGCATGTAGCCTGTCTGACCATTTCTTTACTTTTTATGTTCTCTGGAGACTCAAGTATACACTCAAGAAAAGGTAAACCTCATAAATCACTTGACCATAAGTTGATGTTGATGCATTTGCTTGAGGGGGAAAAAAAAGGTAGCCCTTACTCAAGAACCAGCCAACATGTCAAACTTTCTTTTTAACAAGTAAAAGATCTATTAAGATCCTCTCATAAATCAGCCATTTATTAATATTAACCACTGGGTAACTCTACATAAAAAGTTAACATTTTACAGTTTAGGATAAAGCAGAGATTGTTTACGTTGTTTTGCCTGAAAAAGCATCCTCAGCTGTTCAAAGATTTTCACCGCAAGATTCTATGGTTCAGCATGAAAAGTTATACATACCCTGAAGTCTAACAAAGGGGGAGTGTGAATACAAAGAAATTTGGAAAGACCTTTATGAAATGATAAAAGAAAAAAAAAAGCAGAACCAAAGGAATGAAACCCATACTAACAAACACCCAGAGGACAGAGCCTGGACCTGTAACTCCCTCCCTCTAGCAAGGATGATACCCTTTGCAACTTAGAGTCTTAGAGAGTTGCTGAAAGCCCTGAGAAGTTAAATGACTTGCCTAACGTCCCCTGGCCAGAGTGTGTCAGAGGGAGGAACAGAATGTAAATCTTCCTGGTCCAAGGCCACTAAACCACGCTGCCTCTACATACAACTTCAGTCATCTAAGTAAAGATAAATGAGAAGGAACAAAGAATCCTGATGGGGACTTAGAAGAAGTGACCAAAAAGTTATGTTTTATATGCTGAAATTAATTTCAATATAAATAGTTGGTTATACTGAAGTTTAATATTGAGTTGTAAGTTAATTATTGATAAAACTTAAAACAAAAGACTTCTTAACATGGATCTTCTGGTCAGAGAATTCTGATAAATAATTGTGGCGATAGTCGATCCCATGGAAATTGTGATGTATGTTTGAATGTATGGTATATTATAACCAATGAATATGTAACGTCATGTGGACAGCCTGTCTGATTAAGCTTTTAAAGGGTTTGTGTAGGAGAATTAAATATATAAAGACAGTACAGTGATAAAGGCAAAATGTTCCTTGGTTTTATTAAGAACCAAGAGAACAAATTACATGCTGAGCATGATAAAGTAAAAGAAAGCAACTCGGAAATTCTCCAGAGGTGTGCCCAGTCAGGAGTACAGAAGACTAAGGATGAAGTAGGTCTCTCACTCTCTTGGCAGAGAAGTGATAGAAGAGATGTGCAGAATCAGCTCTCCATTTTCAGACTTGGCCAGTGTTGATCTGTTTTGCTTAACTATATTTGTTTGTTAGATGAGAGGATTTGTATTTGGAGAAGGAGTGAGTTAGAGGGCAGAGACAGAGTAACCAAAAAAAAAAAGACAGAAAAGAGCAAGGGAACTGAAAAAGTACACAGAAAGAAACAAAAACAAGTTTGTAAGGGTATACAGATACACAGAGCAATTTGTTACCACCTTGTTAAATTTTAAGATACACTTAAAAAACCAAAATGTATATACTGGAGATTCAGATTCATTTTTTTGCACCTTGGGCAAATCCTTTAAACTCCCTGGGCCTCAATTTCCTCAACTGTAAAAAGAGCAGTTTGAATTAGGTGGCCTGAGGTTCCGTCCAACTTTTAATCATGATCTCGTGAAATGTCTGTGTTTGTTGATGATGGTTAAGTTCACAATAAAGAACGTTAGATTTAAAGCAAAAAAGAGACTTTTATTTATTATATGTTGATGCTAATAATTTTCTGTGGCAACACATCTTAAAAATTTTGATGGAAGTTAATCAGAAAAGATAATTTGATATATCCAAGTTTTCAAAATGTAAAAAACGTTTTATCCAACTTTTCCAGAATGTATCTGATAAAGTTGCATCAAGTGAGGCCAATGTGTACATTTATTTGTTATGTCTTCAATCTACTTCTGATTATCTAATACACATTTTAAAACTCAGATTGATTTCTTTCTGTCCGGTATATGTTTCTGAACCACTTCCCCTTACCACCAGTTTGTATGGATAAAAGATATGCTTATGAGCTACAAACTAATTCCATTATCAGACTAAGCAAAACAAAGAGGAAGGCAGAGCATGTGGGACTGACAGCACAAAAGTTTATAGACACATATGACTTTCCTCTCCCTCTGCTTCTTAAACAATCTATGCCACGCCTCCCCTCCATGATTTCCTTCCATGCTTCCAAGGATCTGGTGATGGGCTCTCCCATCATGGAGATCACCCTCCCACCCCACCCCAGACTTCTGAGGACTTGCTTTCATTAACTGCTAGACCTCACTCCTCCTAGGCCTCTCAGATGACCCAGCCAGAGGCTGTTTCTTGGATGACAGGCCTAAGTCTCTTTCCAGTTTGGTGGGATCTGCCACAACTTGATACTCTGCTGACACGGCCTCAAATGACCCACAGCCATTACCACCTACCCTCTATGGGGCACCAGAGCAGAGCTGTAGCAGAAGCCTCCGCCATTCTTGTAGAAAAGTAAAGTTCAACTGAATGCTAAGCCTTTTTCATGCAGATCTATGTCTGTACATAGGGATTAAAAAGAGAACTTTTAAATGTTTTTCCCTCCCTTCTTCAGGCGCCTGCCTGGCCCCCTCCTCTCACATTCAGCACTTATGATTTACTGACTTTCCCTGCATGGGGAAGCTGTAGGCCTTGTCTACTCACCAAGGTATCCTTGGGTCTTCTTCTGTAGTGCAGTGACTGGGCAGTCTTTGTGCGCTAACAGCAGCTGTTTCAACTGGGCTACCTCATTGCGCAGTAATGTGACTTCATTCTGGATGCAGAAGAAGGAAGAAGAGATTACATCAGGGAGAACACAGGGTTCTGGAAGTGGGGAATGCCATGCAAACGGACCCAGGGAAATGCACCTGGGGAAGGCATGTTCTTCCTTTACTGAGAAAGACTCTAAAGCCAGCAACGTCTTTCAGCAACCCAGGTTCTGGATGGTCAAGAATTTAAAGATGTTCCCACAGTAAATCTGAAGCAAGTAGAAGCTCACAGTAACATTATGTAGTTTTTAGGATTAAAAACAGAAAACAGGACCAAAGAATGTGAAAAATCAGCAATGGCCAAGAGAGGCCACTCTCATTAGCAATAGCCACTGAGACTACAGAAAACATTATAATTTTAGTTTTGCTTTAAATGTTTCAATAATAGACAAACCTCTGGGTTCTTGAAGTCCTCAAACACCATTACATAGGGGAAGAACACCTCTTTGCTCTATGTTTACAGCTAGGATACTGCAGATTACAAAATGAAAGGAACATCCAGGGGCTGTATTTTGCTGGATTAATGAATCCATCTAGTGTGGTTCTTTGTATAGGCTGGACTATGGACTACAGTCCCCACCTTGGTATTGAGGAAGATTTTACTAATTTCTTACAGGAAAAGACATGTCACCCAATCTGTGGTCTGGTATATCTTGTAATCTCTCTAGCTGTATTTTAAACCATTTCTTCTGCCCCCATGGGGACAAATCACTAGCCTCCACACAACAGTGTCCAGTCTCCAGACTACAATCATCACCTGGGCTCACTCACACTTAGCTGAATGTTCTGGGACGTGAGTTCTTCTGCCTTCTTCTCCAATGAGGACACCCAGAGCTTGCGCTTCTGCCGGCACCGAGAGGCTGCTGCACGGTTGCGTTCTAGGAAGCGCTGTCGCCGCTCGTCGGGATCCTCATCCACCGTGCGCCGCCTACGCCCCCCAGTGCTAGGGGTGGGTTGTGCTGGGGAGACCTGTTACCCAAGAAGAGACATGCTGCTAAAAGAGAACTTGGCCCCTTCTTTTCAGTGTTTTTCAACACTGGGAGTCTGGTAGAGATATCCTAGATCATTTCAGAAGTGGGCAGAATGAATTTAGGTTTTTATCACTCCTCCTTCCCCAATAGCAAAGGGCTACTCAACAATCTCAAGAGTTTGCTGGTTAAATAGGTACTTAAAATATTTTTATGTGAAAAGTTATCTGGCTAGGTACTGAGAACATGAAAGATAAAAATAAGACATGGTCTATATCCTTAAAGAACTTACAACGTAGAAAGTAAGGAGTTAGAAACAGAGATTATAATACAAAATTAAGCAAGAGAAGCAGAGTGCTATGCAACTTCTATGGGGGAAAAGCACAACACTGACACTTCTGGGGGAATGGAAGGGTATGTGAAACACACAAAAAGAATTGGAAAATCCAAGACTGGGATTAGCAACAAATAGACACTTGTCAACTGTACTGTATCTCCCTGGCAAGGAGATGTTTTTATTCATTCAATTTCCAGTGTTAATTCCATAAGAAGTATGATCTGGTCTATTCTTTATATAGATTATCAATTATCAATTATCTGTTGCAAAATCTTCAATCCTGGAGTGGCTTTAACTTGTCCAGGACAGCCATCTCAGGCTATTTTGTCATCTGGACCCTTAGGGATGCATGGTAATCCTTTTATATTAATCTCTTACCAATAAACCTCTTACATTTTTCCTAAAGAGGCTATTCTAAACCTTTTCTTCACTTCCTGCTTTACTGATGTCATCTGATTTTGGTTATGTTTGCCTAGCACTTACCTACCCCAGTGCATGGCACATAGTAGGTGCTAAAAAATGCTTACTGAGGATTGACTCTCCTCCTTCAACTCTCATCACCTCAGAAACTGCTCCATGCCTTTACTTCCCTTTACTGTTCTCCTCTGTCCGAGGTATAGTCTTTTTTTTTTTTTGCGAGGCCATTGGGGTTAAGTGACATGCCTAGGGTCACATAGCTATTGAGTGTCGTGTCTAAGACTGGATTTGAACTCAGGTCCTCCTGACTTCAGGGCCGGTGCTCTTTCCACTACGCCACCTAGCTGTTCCTAGAGGAGGTATAGTCTTAAGACTAACCCATGAAACTATGCTACTGATCCCACCCCTTCCTACTTTTACTAGGGCCCCACTCTAACAAATAAATACCTTCCCTCGGCCTCTAATCTTCAATGCCTTCCTCTTCACTGGCCCCTTTGCTTTCCAAACCTGCTCTTTCCTTGGTCCCCAAATCCCTTCAGAATTCACGTTTATTTTGTTATTTTTTGAGAGAATCAATGGTATAGTAAACTAGGACTTCAGTTAAAATCTTGGCTCTGCCATTTGACTGTGGGCCAGTCACTTAACCACTCTGGGTCTCAGTTCCTCTTGTGTACAATAAAGGGACCAGACTAGATGAACTCTACAATCATCACGTAATTTTGCCTAGTCTAACTATCTTATAAAATAGTCTTGTCTCTCTACTAGTCTATCAGCAAGTACCATCTTATCCAAATCTTGCATCAACCCAAGCACTTAAATACTTAACAAATATTTGTTGTACTGTTGTTCTAGCAGCCTGTCAGTACTATAGGTTTATTTTCCTTCCTTTGCTGTACCTCAATAGTAAGGCATTTTAATGACATATGACAAGCTACCCTTTAAAGACCTGCCCCTTCTTCCTTGTCCTTCTACTTTTCCTGTTCTGATTACCTCTAACCTCTAGTCGCCTCCAGCACTTACTTTCTCTCCTCATGCTGAGCTTCTTGTCCACAGATGATGAACTTTCTATCACACGTCCCATAAACACTGTTCTAACCCTTCTAGGCTCACCTCAGCCCACAAGGTTCACTCCCTCCCCTAGCCAAAGACCTTAACTCCAACTCTACTGGGAAATTTGGGGCCTATGTGGCCATTTTCCCTCCTCACTTCAAACGCCTGCATTTTGGCCTATTGTCCATACTTCTTCCTGTTAGTCTCATCAAGAAGATGAGGTGGCTTACTTTGAAAACGCCTTCACTTGTGCCCTTGATCCCATCCCTTCCTATTTCTTCTCTAATCATGACAGCTAACATTTATACCGTGCTTTTAGGTTTGCAAAATGATTTGCACACGATACCTCATATCACCACCATCATCCAAAGAATAGCTGACATTTACTTTAAAGTTTGCAAAGCACTTTCCATACATTATCTTATTTGAGTTTCCAAACAACCCTATGAGGTGGGTCCTACAGGTATTACTACTTTCATTTTACAGAGGAGGGAAACAGGGGCTCAGAGGGTAAATGAATCACCTGAGCATTAGACACAAACCTCAACCAAATCTTAACTCAAGGTCTAGTACTCTGTTCACTCTGCCACACTAGCTATTCTACCAATAAAGTTCAAAACCTTATGAGTTAGCTTTTCTCACCTTGCACATCCACCCAGTGAGTTACAACTCCCCCTAATTCTCTCCTTATCGGAGCATCCCTTCCCCCACTTTCTCCTCTGGCACAGTTCCTCATCACCACTCCCATGCTTCACTGCAGCTTCTCCCCATTGCTCTTAGTTTTAGCACAACAAACCTAATCCCCAACTCAGTGATGCCTCTCTTCAGGTCCTCCTACCTCTTTATCTACTTATTCTTCTTCCTTTGCTGGTTCCTCTTCTGGCATTCTTCAAGCCTGTTTGTCTGCCTCCCCTCCCTCTGATCTCTCTCTTTCTCTGTCTCCCCTCCCTCTCAACATTTCTCTCCCTCTCTATCTCAGTCTTCCCTCCCTTTTCCTCGGTTTCTCTGCTTTCTTTTCTCCACTAGCAAACTCATCTATTCCTGACTTCTTATCTACCCCACCTCCTACTGCCAGAGTAAACTTTCTTATTTATACCTCTGATCATGTCACTGCACTGCTCAAAAAGTTCTCTTTTGCACTTTTTAGTCAATCAAATGAAGACTCCTTAGCCTGGCCTTTAAAACCTTCTATGACTTGGCTCTAACCTACTCTTGCCTCATCTGCCATCACTTCCATTTTGTTTTCCAGGCACGGGCCAACCTGTCCTGCTCACCACACTGAGCGGTGTGGATTTCTGCCTGTCTCTGGAATGCCTGCCTCACTTCATCTCCACCTTTTCAAAATCTGCCTGTTTCCTTAAAGTCCAGTTCAATGCTACCTCCTGCCATAGTCTGCCTTGTTCTCCCAGCTGGAATTAGTCTTTCTACTCCAGAGTTCTTAGCACTTTGTATACTCATCTGTTGAATTCGTTTCTGCCATTGTATCTGTGTACACATCTCCCTTACTACATAAGTTTCTTGAGAGCAGAGAATCTGTGTTTCTATCATTTTATTTTCTTTATATTCTTACACAGTGCTTGTGCATATAGTACTAAGTGTGCTGAACTGAAATCTTCTATCAGCTGCCTTTCAGTATGTACTTGTGGAACACACGTTAATTTTCATAGGAATTTCAGCCTGCTAGAGAAAAAAAGGTACACCCCTATATACCATGAAGCCTAAGAACAGCTGATGTAGTACACCTTACTATTTCCAAACAAAGAAAAAGATTCACTAGGAAAGGAAGAACCCAACACCTAACAGCTGGGAAGGAGGAGACAGGCTGGTTGTCGCTTCTCTTGCCACAACCCTTTTTGAGTGGCCATCTACAGTGGAAGGACTAATGGCCTTGGAATCAGGAGAGAGCCGAACAGGATTCACACAATTACTCGTAGTGTGACCATGATCAAGTCAAATCACTTCATCTCTTTGAGCCTCTGTTTCCTCATTTGTAAAAGTGGGGAAAATGATACACGTATTACTTCCTTCACATGGATGTTGTGAAATTCAAATAACGTGTTTCGCAAATCTTAAGGTGTTATACAAATATTAGTTATTATTATTGGTCCTCAATGACTTTATACTACTTCTCTTTGAAATTTAAGCCCCCCCTTAAACATTTGCTTAAATGTATAGTTGGTCCTACAGCATAGTAGAGGTAGTACCAATAGCTTCCCTCTCTTCTCCAAGGCAGCTTGATATCTCCATTAGGCAGTCAGCATTTACTAAGCACTTACTATACCCTCCGAGCTAAGAGCTAAAGACATGAAGAAAGGCAAAAAGCACGGTCCCTGCCCCTAAGGACCTCTCCTTCTAATGCGGAAGCCAACATACAAAAAAACATACAAATAAACTCCATTAGGGAGCAGAGGAAAAAGGAAGAGTGTGACCACGACGAATCACTGCTGAGCAAAAGAAAACCATCCCGTTTGACTGAGATGGCTCAGTACCTTCAAGGGAGGGGTTGTTTTAATCTCTCCAGGGACTGGCCCCAGTAGATGTTGCTGGAGGGTAGGCAGGATTAGTTAACAAGAAAGCTCACGCCTAGGTTTTTACCCCACAGTTTTATGGTGGTTGGGCTGAAGGGCAGCATATGGCCATTCAATGTCTGGACATGTGGCAGTAACTAACCTAACAGGTGGTGACTGGGAAATGGGAGGAAAAAGGGAAGAGGCGAGGCTGGGCAAACTATGTAACATGAGAAAGCAGGCTCAGGCTGCCACCTGTCTGATAACAGACAAACTGGAACCTGGCCTCCATTCAGCATCTAGAGAAGTCTTACTAAAGCTATGGATATTCCTGGATTTCCCAGACTATTGGGTCTCAATGCAAAGACAACAGCAGTAGCCCCCAAGTCATGGTTATGCCTGTAAGAGCAGTCTGGGTGGTGACTACAAAAGGTGGTGTCAGTTATTCTCTGCTCCTGGGCTGCCCTGCTATTCATAAGAGTCAAGGCTACCACTCAGAGGAGAAGAGAAAGGAAGGTGCCCTGAAAACTCAGGCTCTGACTCCCTTTTAGTTTCTGTTTGTTGGAAGAGCAAGTGCGGAAGGGGCAGTCTATCCCTCGCCCCAGTGCTCTGTAGGGCCAGGGCCTGGGCCCAGCTGACCTGTGGCTGAGCAGGGGATGGGGCATCAGGGTGCTGGGTGAGTATCTGGCTCTGCTCTGGGCGAGCCGTCACCATCGTGCTGGCAGTGCCCACCACCATTCCGCAGCCGCCATTGATGGAAGAGACTTGATGGGTCAGAGTAGCTTTTAGTCTCTGCAAAGTAAGATGAAAAAGAAATAAGTGTGTGGTTTGTAGAAGCACTGGACTTGGAGCGAACACTGACCTTATGGAAGAGAGCTAGTACTTCCAAACTAATTCTCCCAAATCTCCCTTAGAACACACACACCTGGATCCCCTAGTTCTCTGGCTCTCATTCTGGGCACAGTTATGGGGCTGGAGAGCTATTTGGTTCAGTAGAAAGCTTTTCTGTGGAACCTGGCCAGGCCCTGGGCATGTAGCTGTTTACCACATGGCCAACCTCCACTTCCCCCCTTCCCCCCTATGGTCTGCCCATCCTCCATCTGTCACCCTGGAACTGAAACAGCCAATGCTCCACTCTATGCAGTCTGTGCTGCCTCTTTCCTTTGGCACTGTCTATGTATTAGGATGTGAGGGCAGGGAGAAGGTGGAAACATTGGTCTGGAGTCCTTTTGCCCAGACTGTCTGAAAAGCCTAAGCTTAAATGACCAACTATAACTCCAGAGGACTAATGATGAACTATGGTATCCACCTGACATTTTGGACATGGACAATGCAGGAATTTATTTTGACTATTCATATTTGTTACAAGGGTTTTATTTTTGTTTTTTGTTTTTCCAGGCAGGGGAGAGAAAGGAAAATTTTAGTTGGAAAAAAATTAAATTTTAAAAAGAAACCTAAGCTTAGAGCAAACACTTCAGAGAAGGCTAGTTTTACCCCTGGCTGGGATGTACTCACCATCTTGGCTTCTGAAGGCATGGGTAGGCCAGAGGGAGAAACTGAACCACTGCTGTTGACTGGTGGACCAGGGATACCAGGAATGTTGGGGACCATGGAGATGGGTCTGGCCAGCTGGATTGAGAGAGGTAAAGAAAAGCCAAAACAGAAGATAAAGCTTTTGGTGAGAAGTAACTCTTCGATATTAAATTATTTTGAGACCGAGACTTAGCAAGGCCTGCCCTGTGCAGTAACAAGCTTCTGGATATTCAGAAAGCAGCTCAAGACAGGGACACTCGTCTCCTATGTCACAGCAGAGGCAGTCAGCATTTACTAAGCACTTACTATGCCCTCCGAGCTAAGAGCTAAAGACATGAAGAAAGGCAAAAAGCACAATCCCTGCCCCCAAGGACCTCTCCTTCTAACACGGAAGCCAACATACAAAAAATTGTACATCCAAAATACATATGGTGGAAGTGCAAGGTAACACACAAAGGACTCAGAAGGCCAGTTCTTCAATGCTATGTAAATCTTTATGTGCAAAGCTGGGGCTGTCTCCTGAAGAATTTGATGGGTGAGGGAGAAGCTGCTGAGTATAAGGAGTCAGACAGTCAGTGGGTGGTATTGCTGCTCGAATTACAAGCCATCTGGCCAGGTGAATTTTTGTTTTGCCTCTCTTGATGCTAGAAGTTGGCACAGGCTGGTGAGGAGGTGGGATGTAGTGCTCATGTTGAAGTGACAAAAAATGGAGACCACACATCTTCGGAGTGCGTGCGTGTGTGTGTGCGCGTGCGCGCGCATGCATGCGTGTAACAAAAACAGAGAAACAGAGAAATTCTGAAGAAAAAGTTGGTAAAGTTGGCTTCCTCCTCCATAGAGCTCACCGATATAACAGAAGGCATCTGTACTGGAGGCCCTGGCAACACAGGCATGGTCTGTCCATTAGCAAGGTGCATGACGAGAGGGAGGGAGCCAGTGGGGGACCTGGAAGAGATGAAGTACAGTGGTTACAGTATCAACCCCTTATGGGCACTACAGCTACTTGGGAGAACCCATCTAGGACAGATGCTTAGCAGCTCTGTGAAACCTTGGCACCCTAGTGGGCTAAGAGTGAGAGACGAGGACCCAGTTTCAGCTGCCACTCAACTTGCATGGTAAAAGCAGAAAAAAAAAATCTCAATACCTTTACACCAAGCCCCACAAAACAGGCAAACATACATTGCTTAGATAGGTGAAGAGTTCACCATACCCTCCTAAGTCAGCTTTTTCAACCTTGGCCTGTATAAACTGACTGGCCTTGGACAAGTGAATGGCACCAAAGTAATCATGTTCAACGATAAACTCAACTGTGCTACCTGATGGCCAAGTTCAGTCTTGTCCCCCTTGGCCATCTCCCTATCTTATTTTGCCCTGCCTGTCTAACAAATTCCTCCTTCCTTTACCTTAATGGGCCCAGAAAACACCTGGCTACAAGTCTGAGTTCCAACAACTGTCCCTTAACCCCTTGGTACCTAGAGATAGGATCTTACACTTTCTTATTAGGCATTCTGGGGATAAAAAAATCAAGAATAACAAAGCCCTAGGGGAGGCCAGACCAAAGGAATGACTAGATCTGAGAGATAATGCGCGGAGGCCAGAGCTGGTGGTTGGTGTCCCACAATATCTGGCCAGCCATCACTGTGCTGAACTTCATGAAGTTTTGAGGCTCTTTCTCTTTCACAAACGCACAAATTTAAGTCCCCAGAACCTTTGTTTAGGGTCACAGAAATTACCAGATTATTGCTGGGTTTTTTTAGTGGAAAAGGAAAAAAAAATCAAGTTTTTTGAGGGAAGAGAGTAGCTTATATCTGGATGCCTCTCTTTGACAATTACTACAAAGCCTGCCCCTCTGTTTCGCAAAGAACTGTCATCTAGGGAGCATGCGGTCCCACTGCTTTTCTTTAACTCTTTACTTACCCCAGCTGCCTGTGGGAAGGCGGAGCCTGTGTGATGACAGAGGTTGGGGAGGGGAGGGTTGGATGAAGTGGATCATAACCCAGATGGAGAGGCAGGGATCCTGGTCGAACTATGGCGGGTGTAGGGGCAGAGATTACAGCGGGCTTGGAGGCGACCTCCTGGGGAGAAGAGAACAACTGAGCACAAAATGCTTTAAGGGACTGATTATAGGGAGCTACAGCTTGTAACGTTTGGGACAGATTTACTGGATAAGAGCCAGAGGCTACTGACGAGGCTACCAGTGATGCCCCAAATACATCATCATCTCATCCTATTGTTCCAGGGACGCACACCTCACTCACCCAGTCTAGGGGAGTCCTGGGATTAAGACCACTTGGCTATTTCCCTTTCAGGGATGTTGGCTTGATGAATGAGATGACAGCTGGGAAATCACTTGGAGATCTTAGAAGAAGAGGGATTATGTAAATTCCAGGGATTCTTAGAATTATTCCCAGCTTAAATACTCTCACCCTAAGCTGAGGTAAATTGTAAAACCTCCTGATGCCTGAGCAACCTCAAACAACCAAGAGAACTAACATCCCTGGCCCTGGCTAGAGATAAGGATTCCCATCTCTTGTTGAAAGGAGCTATGGAAATATGAACTGATGACCACACATTAAAAACAAAACACAACAAATTCACAATTCCTCATGTTAACTGGCTTGGAATATGAGCTCTAGATCCTAGGGACATATCAGCAAAGCTTAGGTTAGGACCTAAGGTGGGGGGAAAGCATCTTCTGGTATACTAGGAGTTATCTTTCTTCAAAATACATACATATTGAGTTGTGCGGGCCAGTCTTGTGCAGATTTAGGGAGCTTTCAAAGGAAACCAAGTTTGAAGGAAAACATGGGATACAAATATTATAAGCAATCATCAGGGACCTATTACTATTCATTTCCACCTACCAGAAGATTATGAACTCTCGTGATATAGAATCTTACCTTCTTTACTGGTGGGGAGTGGGGACTGGAGACAGGGCTATCAGGGGGGGATGAGTCTACCTCCACAGGCTCTTCCTCTTTGATTCTGATGTCTGGTGTGGAGGGTAGGGACATGTCCAAGGGACCAGCAGCCTGCTAAAAGGGAACATGAACGCAACCTTTAAGAAAAAGAAACACATCTGAACATGTGGTTTTTCTTTGGGAACAAAGTCCTAAAACTAATCCAGCAGTCAAAGCTTTTGGAGTGGGAGACAAGAAAACTGATTCCAGACTTATTGCGTGACTACAAATGCTGTTTGATTTAAGCCTTCAGGTTCCTCATCTGTAAAATGTAGACCAGAAAAGTAAAAAAGTATCTATGAAGATGCCTTGGTTCTCTGAAAGCAAGAAAAAGCTACCACACAGCCATGCTATTTTTATGACTCCTTTTTGCTGTTTTCCCTCGCAGGAGGTAAAATGATTTTGGAGCCTGACTCCTGCCTACTCCTGACCAGCTCTGTTGGCCCCTGGGGAGCTATGAACTTTTTCTCCACCAAGCTAGATGATATGATAGCCCAATTATCAAAAGTAATGAAGACAAGCCAGCTATTAAAGTTCTACAAACAAGCTAGGAAAGAACCCTTCTGGGGACTCCACATGTGTAGCTGTGGTCTCACTTGGAAGCCCAATGCTTTGGGCTCAGAGCTCAGACAGGCAGGGACTGGGGCAACAAAGACAGGAGGAGCTGATGGCAGAAAGAGGAGAGAACCAGGGCCTGAGGGAAAAGCAAGAGGGAGGATGACAGGGGAAGAGAGAGCTGCCTCGCTGAAGAACCATCAGCTCATGGGCTGTAAATGGCTTTTTGGGGAGCAATAAACCATCAGAGGTAATGACCCTGACATCACACCATGACAGGAAGGTTGGTGTTGCAGTCCATGACAAAGTGGATTCTTTGTTCTATTTGTTTTCTACTCCTGGCTTCTCTGTGAGTGAGGGGCTTATTTTTTACTTTTCTCTTGGGATTCTGGTCCCTAGAAACCTCTTTCTCTAGGGCTGAGTTCAGATAGTGTTTACTTCTATAGGGAATAGTTACTGGTAAGTGGTAGAAAAGGCAGTTCCCTTCATTCCTGCCCTTATCTTCCCATTCAGCAGACCTTCAGGTCCTCTATGTGCTAATTTATCTAGCCCAGGATTCCCAAAGTCAGAATGATAAGGGAAAACAGACAAGACATTCCAAAGTGAAATTTGATGTTGGTTTATCTAAAGCCCCTTGAATACCTCTGAGAATGGCCATGATTTAGGTAGGTTTCAGGCTCATTAAATATACTTGGAGACTCCCCTGGGCAGGTTGAACACACATATAACAGGTTTGGTGCCTAGCTTCTCCTACTGGAAATATTTTTACTTCTTTATTTTCCCCCTTGTACCTACAAGTAATGGTGGCAGTTTGTAAAATGAAAGCTATAGGAATCCAAACAGTAGCAGCTGGGTAGTGAGGGGCATGAGGTAAGGGGAAAATGGTCACTGCTAGTTCTGCTATTTTAAAAGGACACAAACATACCTGAGACCCTCCACTTTATTAGTATAATGAGGGGAAGAGTTAAGGGAGGCTCATAAGAAAGATGGCTGTGAAACTAATGTCACTGGGAAGGTACCCCAAGATCCAGTGAAGAGGTTGTAATAGATGGCCTACAATCATTCCTGCAGCCTATGCTGGATGGAGGAAATCATGTTCAACTGTCCTCATTATCCCCACAGCATGTTTCTCTTGTGCAAGGAGAGGACAGGCTCCACAGACATCAACACCTTCACCATTTTTCTAGTTTCTTTTCATACTCTATTCTAGTATACACATGCTAGCTCTATTTCTATTTTCTACCATTATGAAAAGCTGCTTTCTCTCAAAGACGGGGATAAGAATGTAGATCTTTGTGGGGGATTTTACATACATACACACACACACACACATACACACATACATACATACATACATACATACATATGCATGCATGCATTTACTGGATAAGAGCCATACAGATATATGGAAGTTCTGATTACAGAGATCCAATTGGTGTCTAGAGGCCAGTAACTCAGTAGTTGAACTCTACAAATGCCAGACCCTGGATCTCCGATTCATCTTTCTTTCCTTCCCTTTCACCAATTTTAACTCCTATTGCAATGTTGTCCCAAACTCCTCCAGGGATTTTCTAGTGGTCAGGAAGGCAGACACTGTCTCTCCTGTTCCTACAGCAAGCTTAGTGGCATCAACTGTGTGGTAAATCACCACAAATGAAAAGTTTGGGGTTCCAGGGCAATGACATAGATATTTTGTCTGCAAAAATCCCAGCCTCTCTCCCAAGTTATTGACAACTTTCACTAAATACTGCCATAGATGGGATTAGAACATTGGTCTCTGGACTTCCACTGCAATGTTCTTTTCACTAGACCATTCTGCTTTTCGTATCCAAAGGATGATGCTACTGACCCACTACTGGAAGGGTTACTACTGAGTTGTACACTAAGGTGATTGCCCAAACCTTTGCCTGGTGCCTTTTTGTGATGGTACTCTGATACTTGGTTTAGAAGCAATTTGTGGCCGCAGAACAGAGCAAGGCTGGCCCACATCAAAAGCTGAGCCTAATTGGCCCTGGGCCAACACAGCATACAAATACAGCTAAAATAAGTCTAGAACTTATCCCTCAGTTGCTCAGTGGGACTCCCGCCTCTTGCCTTTTTCTCATCATCATCTGCAGCTTTCTTGAACTCATGCTCAAAGGAGCTGGCTAGTTCATTGAAGAGCCCCACCTCTTCACAATTCTTCAAGAATCGGGTAGGGGTAGGGGTCTGATCTGTAAAATAAGAAAGGAATAGGAAGCATTTAAGACTCTTCTGTATAGATAGCAGAGTTATTCTTTGTTCTGCAAACTCTTATCCTCTCTCCATTCTTAGTGGTTAAAGGGCTTCAATAAGAAATCAGAAATTGAGAATTTACAAAAGCCACATTTTCTTTTATCAACAGCCAAACTGTGTGCTGGAGGCAGATCAACTTTATGGAACTCTGGTTTATTTAATAGTAAACAGTAATTACTAGGTGAAGATGGAAAATGTTAAGTGTCTATGCAATGTTGTCTTGTGGCCAGAAGGGGGAACATATAACAACATTTCACTCTGGATGTCCATTATAAAATCCCCACCTATTTAAAAAAATATACCTCCCAAAGTAAAATTTTAGGAAGCTTCCAGGCCTGCAGAGAACCTAGAATAATTAAACAGTATTTTCTCTTTTTATCTAGTTCTTTGATGAATCTGAAAGGAAAATATCTGACTTGGCTTCTCCCTGACTGAAAGGAGTAGTAATAAGAAGGATATATTATAAATCGTGAGGGCACTGAGGTTAGGAGAAGTGAAGGCTGTGCTAAAGTTACCTATCAAGCAATGGTATCCTGGCACTTAGCTAACATGGAGACAAGCCTCCTCCCTATCCAGGGCAAGGGATAGGGATGGAGGGACACTGGACAGTGTTAGATAAAGGGATCAGTCTGGAGAAAGGAAATTGTTAAAAAAAAAAAGCAAAAAAAAAAAAGCACCTCATTTCACAAAGGCATAAGGCCATTCACGGTACATGGTGGAAAGCAGAATTTTGGTCCCAGCTACTGCAGCTTTAAGTACAATGTCACCTTAACTTAGGGCACTTAACATGCCTTTGTTCACTTAGAAGGGGTCTAGTAGTTCCGTCCTTGAGAAGGGGCTGGTGAGAGGGAAGGATATACCTGGCCTTCTGGACCAACTTTCAATTCAAACTTACATCTCCTCCTTACCCTGAATGCTTAATTTTTCTATCTGCAGCCAATTGGTTAGCTGATCACAATACCATCAAGACTTTCCTCTGCTGGATTAGCCATTTCAGAATAAATTGCACACCTCTAATCCTTAGGCAGACTTCTTCAAACAGCATAAAGTTTAAAGGAGAAATTCAGCAAGATACTCCATGGAAATAAACATCAGATTTTTTTTTTCTCAAAACACCTTCTGAATATGACTGTTTGAAAAGGCTGCCACCATCTCCCAAAACAGTTTTAAAAGGTTCTTCAACACTTTCAGCTGGCCAACAATAAAGCCACTTTCCCTTAAAATCTGGGTGTATGGGGGTAGTAACAACATCCTTTGTGCTTAGAGAAGTACTTTACTACTACATACAAAACTGTAACTTAAACAGAGCATAAGGGGATGAGCTGAAGGGATGGGCCCTCTCAAAAGAAGGAATTTTGGCCCTCTGCCCCGGAGTCTTACGTAATCTTCCTGTAGCCTACTGCTCATGTTCACACTTGGTTTGTATTCTGTATATTTATTACATTTATTTTATAAGTATTTACTGATACCTTTTGTTTTTACATCACCTATACTTCCCAATGTATTTCTTCCCTCCTTTTCCCTTTCCCAGACAGCCAACTCTTCTGATAAAGAATAAATGAAAAAAAAAAACACAACACTTGGCAAAACCAATCAACCCAACCAACAAATTGACCAAGGATAACATTATATCCAATGTTTCTGTCCCCTACCTCTGCAAAGAAGGGTGAGGTACAAGGGACAGTGTCTTCTTCTATCTCTTTGAGGACCAGAACATTCAGTTCCAACTGTTTTGTTTTTGTTCTTTCCATGTACATTGTTGCAGTTCTTGTGCACATCCACCCTGCTGTTTGGGCTTACTTCACTCTTAATCAGTTCACAGAAGTATTCCTATACTTCTCCATATTCATCACATTTATTGTTTCTCGTAGTACCATCACATTCACATACCACAACTTGTTCAGCTATTCCCTAATGAATGAGAATTACTGCTATTAAAATTTGGTGTATACAAGCCTTTCTTTTAATTGCTGCTCTCTTTCAGGTATATACCTCGAAGTGCTATCTTTGGATTAAAGGGTAATAGACATTTTTGTCTCTTTCTTAGCAAATTCCAATTTGCTTTCCAGAGGTTTGACCAATTCACAGTTCTACTAACTGCATTAGTATCTTCAACAACTCCTCCAAGTTGTTTATTATTTCCATTTTTTTGGGTCATCTTTGCCAATTTGCTGGGACAGCCTCAGGTTGTTTCAATTTGATTTCTTTTTATTATTAGTGATTTGGCACTTTCTTTCATATGGCTGTTAATAATTTGCAATTCTTCTAATATCTGTGCAAATCTCTTACTGGCGGGTTGGCTTTTGGTGTTATGTATTTCTGTTAGCTGGCTATATAGCTTGGATATCAGATTCTTATCAGAGATAAGACACAATGATTTTTTCCCCCCAGTCAACCACTTCCTTTACCCTTGTTGCATTAATTTTGTTAATGATCACTTCTATCCCTCCACGCCCTGTCTAGCAGAAATTAGGTTTACACTAGCACCAATACATACACACACAGAAAGATGCTGGTCTAACCCTCATTTCTGCCAGACTGCTTTCCAATTTTCTCAGCAGTTCTTGTCAAACAGAAAGTTCTTTCCCAGGTGATTCGATTTTAGGGTTTACTGAACACTGGGCTGAATTCAACTATTTCAGATTGTTTCTTGTCTAGCCTACCACGATCTACAAATGATCCACTTTTCTATTTTTTTAAAAACTGGTACCAAATAATGAGTACATAACTGTTGACAACAACTTTATACTATAATTTGAGGTATGACTCCCATAAGATTTCAGACCTCTTGTTCCTCCAAATGAATTATTATTATTATTTTGGTGAGGCAACTGGGGGTTAAGTGACTTGCCCAAGGTCACACAGCTAGTAAGTATCAAGTGTCTGAGGTTGGATTTGAACTCCGGTCTTCCGGGCTCAAGTCTGGAGCTCTATCTACTTCACCACCTAGCTGCCCCTAAATGAATTTTTAAAGCTATTTTTGTTTAGGTCTGTAAAGGATTAGGTGTTATAAACTGGACGGGTGTTTATCTCAACAATCAATCTCCCATACGAAATCTTATTTCTCAACTTCCAGTTGGGCCTTTTGTAACCTTCAACTGGCTTCCGTTTCTTCCTGACCTGATCTATAAAATAACTCAAAAGAGATAAGTTTGAGACTGCCTTGATGGTCCCAATTAATAACAATTAAGCACTTACAATATGCTCATCATAGTGCTAGGCACATAAGTTCCTGATCTGGTTCTCAAAATTTTTTATGGTATAATCTTTAACAGCTGCTTAAGGCATGTTTCCTGTCATTCAAACTACAGAAAAATACACACACATTCTCTCTCTCTCTCTTATTGTCTGCATCAGTGAAAGGAGATCCTCATACCACTGAAATCACAGATCTGCCAAAAAAACCCCCCATCAACCTACAACCCAGCTGTGAAGAAATCATACAACCTCACAGGGTTCTTAGAAGGCTTCAGTGAGATACTGGATATCAAAGAAGTCTGTTAGCTTGGAGTATTATGTAAATATAAGCCATCTTTGCAAAGAATACACTCCACAGGTAAATGACACAAAGAGGGGTATCAGGAGCTCTGGGAAGCCAGGGGGCCTAGGTTCAAATCCCACTTCTGACTTTCTACACTGTGTGACTAGAAGCAGTCTCCCAACTTGCCTTGCAGGGGGGCATGTGTAGAGATATAAGGGTAACAATATAAACAATGTTGAGGGTACAGATGTTTATGGTTCAGGAAGAGAGCAGAATGTCTGCGATAAACGGTAGGGTCGGCACAAAAAGTAATATTCCTAAAAAGCACACATGTGGCCATACAACTTTCCTGCTCACTAAGCTGAAGAGGCTCCCTGTTGCCTTTAGAGTTACATACAAGCTCCTCTATTCCTTCTAACCTAATTAATTAATGGCACCTAACTAATATATTTATTTTTTATTATTCTAAATTTGACAAGCACTAACAAATGTGCACATTTCCATATATAAATAGAAAAAAATTTGTATATGAAACTGTGAATCTCTATCTTTTTAAAAAAATGTATACATTAAACATGTTAGTTTCAAAACTGTCCTGCTTATTCTGTGTTTCCCTCTGAATTACCTTTGTTGTCTTTTGTGCTTCATTAATGATGTTCGCTTTCTGTTTTTGGCATCATTACCACTGGCTTCCTCCCCACAACAGCCCTCCTTAATTAACAAATACAAACACCCTGAGGCAGCTAGGTGGCACAGCAGCTAGAACACTAGCCTGGAGTCAGGAGCATCTGAGTTCAAATGCGGCTTCAGACACCTGACACTTAACTAGCTGTGTGACCCTGGACAAGTCACTTAACCCCACTGCCCAACGGCAAAACAAATAATTAAATAAATAAACAAAAAAAAAATAAATAAATGAATGAATGAGAAATACAAAAAACTACCCTTCGTTATAACTACTGGTTAACACTTTAAAACTTATTTCACTGGTACCACCTCACACCTATCAGAACTGAGAAAATGCCGAAGGGGATGAGGGAAAAAAGGTACATTAATACTGGTGGAGTAGTCGACTGGTCTAACCACTCTGGAGAACAATCTGAAAATATGCCCGAAAGGCTATACAACTGTGCACACCCTTTTATCCAGCAATACCATTATTAGGTCTGTACCCCAAAGAGATCAAAAGAAAAGGACCTATATATATACATACATACACACACACACACACCCTCACAAATATTTATAATGCTCTTTTTGTGGTGGCAAAAAATTTGAAATTGAGGGGATGCTAATCAATTGGGGAATGACTGAACAAGATGTAACTGTGATGGAGTACTACTGTGCTGCAAGAAACGGGGAGGTGGATTCAGAAAAGAACCCCCAAACCCTATCAAGACCTATATGAACTGATGCAAAGTGAAGTGAGAACCAGGAGATCACTGTGCTCACTGTGCACAGAACAGCAATGTTGTAATGATGATCAATTGTCAAAGACATGGTTATTCTGAGTAGTACAGCTACCTAAGACAAATTACAAAGGACTCATGATGAAAAAAATGCTATGCACCTAGAGAAAAAACTGATGAACTGAGTACAAATAAAAGTATAATTTTCTTGCTTTCTTTTTTGCCTTTTTTTGGGATATAGCTAATATGGAAATATATTTTGCATGATTTCACATGTGTAATTGCTATCTTGTTTGCCTTCTCAGTGGGTGGGATGGGAAAGAGGGAGAGAATCTGAACTCCAAATTTAAAAAGAAAAGAATGTTAAAAGTATCTCATTTAATTCTCACCATAACTCCATGAAGCAGGTACTGTAATTATCCCCACTGTACAGATGAAGAAAATGAGGCTGGAATGGTGAAGCGACCCACTCAGCGCTAACGCAGCTTGTGAAGTGTGGGAGGCACTGCTCAAATTCAAGTTTTCCTGATTCAAGACCAATGCTCTATCCACTGTGGACAACTAGCTACCTCTTAAAACACATGCATGCACTGGATGTCACTGAAAACACATATCTTATGCTTTATTTGTAATCTATTACCTCTCCATTAGGGCATAGGAAGCATGATCATTAATATTCTGGTATCATGGTTGGTCACTGTATTAATTAGTGTTCTTAAGTCTTTCAAAATTATTTTCCTTTACAATGTTGTCAACATTTAGTCAGTCAACAAACATTTTTAAAAGTGCCTACTATGTACCAGGCACTGTGCTAAGCTCTAGGGATAGAAAAAAAGACAAAAGACAGTCCCTACTCTCAAGGAGCTTGCAGTCTAATGGGGAGACAACATGCAAACAAATATACACAAACAAGTTATAGACAGGATAAAGAGGAAATAATTGAGAGGGAAGACACAGGGAAAGGCTTTCTACAGAATGTGAGAACCAGGAGGCAGAGATGAGGAAGAAGAGTGTTCCAGGAATAGGGGAGGGCCAGAGAAAATGTCTGGAGATGAGAAGTGGAATGTTCTGTATGTAGAACTCTGGAAGCTGGTGTCACTGGATCAAAGACTATGTGGTGGGGGTGTAAGTTACAAACAGACTGAGGAAGCAGGAAGGGGCTAGGTTATGGAGGGCTTTGAACGTCAAGCTGAGGATTTTGTATTTGATCCTGGAGGTGACAGGGAGACACTGGAGTTTAACGAGTAAGGAGGAGCTAGTTATCCTGCAAACTGTTCTCCCGGTCTGTTGCTCTTCATAACCTGGCTCCAACCTACCTTTCTGGGATTATCATATGCGTTTCTTGTCCCCTTTTTATACTCTACATTCTAGCCAAACTGGCCTGATGGCTGTTCCTCATATATACTATTTAGACAGGTGATTTCCCACGCTTAAAATGCACTCCCACCTTACCTCTACCACTTAGACTCTCTAGCTTTGCTCAAAGTTCCCTCTAGAGATATACCTTCTTCATGAGACTCCGTTTAATCTCTCCATTCATTTGTGGGTTATCTCCCTCATCCCTAAGTGATTCTGTATTTACTTTCTATGTAATTTGTTTCTACTTGAATATGTAAGCACCATTTCTGCCAACAGAATGTAAGCTCTCTGAGGGTAGGAACTGTTTCAAAGGTCAGCTCAAGTCACTCCCTTCATGAGGACTTTCCTGATCCCCCAGTTTACCTTGTATCTCCTAATTCCAGGCATACAGTAGGTGCTTAATACATGCTTGCTGTTTGATTAACTGGTAGCAGTGGTAATAGAAAAGATAAGAAGAAATAAGAAGGCGGAGTTGGTTTTAAGGAGGGAGGAATAAAGGAAAATGACTTCTATTTTGGACATGATTTTAAAGTGATAGGTGATCAAAATGAAAATGTCTAATAGGAAGCTGGAGTCAAAATTCAGGAGAAAAGATCATTTTTGAGTTAAAAGATTTATGAGTCAGCACAGAAGTCACAGATGAAACTACAAGAATGGGAAGTGGGCAATCTGCTCAGAGATCTTGACATTTTAGTCAAAATATCCCCCCAGCCTAGGGGGAGAGCAAATCTTTGCCTCAAAAGGCCATGTCTGATAGGGCGATCAGAAACTAACCTCCATGAAGGCAGAATACCCAGCTGTGCTTAGTTGGAAGACCCTTGGTCAGTCTGAAACCTTCCTTTGATATAAAAATAAAATCCTGCCTGAGTTTGTATGCCTGGTGTGCCTGATATGACAGGCTGCTGTTCTGTTTGACCGCATGGTTGAGAGAGGCACAAGAAGGAGAGACAACAGCTGAGACTCCCAAGAAGCTCCAGGACACCCAAATTTGCTTAGAAAAATGCTATTGATCGAAGGTCTTGTCTGAGCTCTGGAAATGGGCTCCCAGCCGTGGCTGGGAGAGGGAAAATGGCTGAATTTATGAACTGTCAGCTTCTTGGCTCAGGAAAACTGACACTCACTGGAGAAGCAGTAGCCAGGCGGGGTCAGCTTTCTCGCCTTCTTTTGTTCCTCACCTCATCGGCTGTAGGGAGAAATGTCAAAGGCCTCTTTTGTCTATAAATCTTCAAGAATCTTAATAAAATGGATGCAAGGAAGAAAAAAAAAGAGAAAAAACCCTTATATGCCTACGACTAAAACTGCAGAACCTGATCTTATTACTAAAATGGGGGGGGAGAAGAAAAAAGGAGAGAACAGAAACTTGGGAGCTTTCCGTGTTCCTTTTTTCCTGATTAAATGCAGATCACACAAAAGCTCTTAATGGGGGAAGGGAAGAGCAGTCCTCTGTACATCTGGTCCCTGGTATTAATCTTAACTGTGGGGTGATATTGAAGCACATGGCTTTTGGAGCGGTGAGTACCTGCAATGATGACTGAGTCTGTCCGGGCTGGGCCAAATTTCAATGTCATCTCATGCTTGTGTTTATGAACCGCCAGGTGGTCCTCGTTTGTAAATCTCTGAAATGAAACAGAAATGGAGAGAGATGAGGGTGGGGAGAGTCAGTGAATCGATGCCCTTTTAAAAAATGTCCTATTGGACATCTTAGAGCAGGAACAGTCCCTGGAGAGAAGGTCAGGGAAGGTGAAGACATTTTTTTTTGTAGGGTGAGACATGAGATGAAGGGGAGAAAGGATGGAAGTAAGGGCTGGAAGTAGAAAGGGAGAAAAGGCAATAGACAACAGAGAGGAGAAGGGAGGGGGAAGAATGGAGCACCAACTGCTCTGTGGTATTAAGTCCAAACAAGACAAGTGGACAGATTGTTAGTCAAGTGGGGTGCAAGCTGAAGGCTCCAAATGAAAGAATCATTAAGGCCAACTCCTGGAGAACAAGGGGAAAATAATTTTTAATAATAATAATAAAGAGAGAAGCAGGGAAAGGATGGCCATCAAAAAATAGGAAATTCAGAACATAGCTCTTAGTGGTGGGGCTGAATCGGGCTGTTTTATGAGGGGCTAACAGGGAGATAAATTATGCAGGATTAGGAGATCCATTTAACTTCCTGGCCCCTGCAGTGCTACAGCAGGCATCAGTGTAGCCATTTGGCTCTGGGTTTTAATAAGCCGGGACGGAGCTGCGGAGGACTGAAGCCCAACGGCCAGCAGTAAAGGCACAAACCATCCCATCGGCCAAATGCCATCTCTCCTCATCAGGGGCAGGCACAGAGGCTGTGCAGGCCATAAAGGGGCCAATGCAATGTTATAGACTTTATAACAGTTGCATGGAAATACAACTGAAGATGGAGGGGATTCTGCCTTCTTGTGTGGGGGGCTTCAGTGGATGAGCAATGAGTAGGTAAACCTCAGATCTACCCTCAGCTTCTTACTGGCAGGGTGGAATTACTAAACCATAATTTTGCCACTCCCCCCAGAGCTTCTCTAAAGTGGCATGTGTATACACGCAAGCCTGCATGCTGCAAGAGCTTGCTCACCAGGGAGACAAGGAAGGAAACAGATCAACATTGGTAATTCAAAAAAATAACACAAAAAAAACTCCACTGAGGCTGCCTGGCTGCGCCTTCCTCTACAACAAATTGTCTGCAACACCATGTTTGGAGACAACAGTTTTCTGTAATCCCTTCAACAGAACTACACAGTTTCATCTGCCTTTTTGCTTTCAGAAATAATGACTGATGAGTTCTCTTCCTTTTCAGTTTCGTCATCGGACCTATTCCTCGTCCACCTCCCTCACTTCAACTCTGCTTTTCCACACCTGTTTTTTGACTGCAATGTTCACTAGATAGAATTTACCCATCATACCTCAGCTGCTTTCCATTTCGGTAGAAGTCTGTTTTCAAATCCAATTGAGTTACCTCAAGCTATTTCCTTTTTTTCCCCCTTCCAACTTGGCAGAGAAGTAAGCAGAAAAAAAAATCCAGATTTCCCAGGATCTTTTCCTGGGAATGGGAAGTAGCCACTGTCCTTTTCCTCAAAGTGACTTTGAACCTTGTCTGATGGTGCAAATTTGGATACAGGAGATGCAACAAAACACTAAATATAGTGAAAACAAGACTTTTATTGTTAGAAATAAAGCCAAAGGGGCAGCTAGGTGGCGCAGTGGATAGAGCACTAGCCTTGGAGTCAGAAGGAGTTGAGTTCAAATACAGCCTCAACCACTTGACACTTCCTAGCTGTCTGACCCTGGGCAAGTCACTTAACCCAAACTGCCTCACCAAAAAACCCCCCAAAAACCACCACCACAACAAAAAACCAATATGAAAGAAATCAGGTCAAGTAAAAAGGTGGCTGGGATTTTGCAAAGGAGGTGATGCACCAATTCAATTTAAAAAGCACTTATTAAACAAACACCCACTGAGTGCCAGGCACTGGGTTAGGTGCAGGCAGGGAATTAAACCTCCCCCCCAAAAAAAAACAAAAAAAAGAAAAGAAAAAAGAAGAAGAAAGTCCCTGCCCTCAATGACTGCCTCAATAATGATTTATTTGGAAAACTAAGGGCAAAACTAGAATACTGGCACAGAAAAGTCAATGGGTGAAACAACAAACTCAACAACATGATCTGATTTTGTTGAAAGGAACAAATATCTCAGGAGGGGAACTGAGACAGGAGTGCAAGTTTCTACTCTTGCTAGACATTCATTTCTTTACTTGTAGAATTTTCCCAAAGGTAAAGGGAGACAAATGAAGATTGCTGGCCTAACTGGGGAAGGTATGTGAATACGTGTGGATAATAAGCCACCATGGAGGGCTTAGAGGGCTGTTAAGCACTGAGAGAGAAGGATGTGCCCAAAATAGATAAAAGAGTGAAAGGCATCTAGTATGAGAGGAAACTAAAGCTATTTCTTTAATTGTGCTAGTTACAATTAAAGAAATCTTTTTTTTCTGTAGAAATTCCTTGATATCTTAGAAGTACCTCTTTCTTTTGTGCTATGACTGAAGACTCCAGACTTTTATTATTTGTCCTCTAGTTCTCTCTCTCTCTCTCTCTCTCTCTCTCTCTCTCTCTCTCTCTCTCTCTCTCTCTCTCTCTCTCTCTCTCATATGCTCTCTCCCTTGAGCCATATATTTTCCCCAAATGAAAGCTGGGGGCTGATCACTCCCCCACCCCCAAACCTAAATCATGCTGAGCACTGCAGGAGAGCTGAAGCAAAGTTAGTTGAAGAGCACGGCCCTGACTCTCAGCTCAGCTCCAGTCATCTCCCTGCTAGTTCTAATACAGCTCTTTTTAGTGAAGAGGAAGATAAAAGTTTATTAGGGAAGGATGCTATGGAGAAAAGACTGATGATCTCTTTTCTGAAGTCTGCTGGAATGTGAAATAGAAATATCAATCCCCCCCCCCCGCAAGACTTATTAGGATGCATCTGTATAGAACAGACCTGAAATGTGCATTTGGGGCATCTTTCCTCTATAAATAATCTCTATTTTTAAAAAGAGAGGAAGATATTTGGTTTTAGCTGCCTATGCTACTACAACAGATGTACAAGTAACCACCCACCTAGGGAAGTATTCATGTCAATTGAATGGTAAACAATGTTGATCTTTATTTGACTGCTTAATTATATATACATGTTTACTGATTTAATGACCATGTCTTTGGGGCAGGGGAGAAAGTGGGCATTAAAATTGAGGGCTACTGAAGTCAGGGCATATTGGAATCGGGAAGCAGCCCAAGTGTCTTGAAAGGATCACAGAATCTTATGGTTGGAAGGGACCTTCAGGACATCTGGTCTAACACATACCTAAACAAGAATCCTTTCTACATCATTTCCAGCAAGTGGTAATCTAGCTCGTACTTGAAGCTTTCAGACAGAAGAAGCCCATGTTGAACGGCTCTGTTAAGAAGGTTTTTTTGTTTGTTTGTGTTGAATATCAAGCCTAAATCTGCTATTCTGCAATTTCCACCCACTGCTTCTAGGTTCTAGCATACAGGGCCACGCAGAACAGATTTGTGCTATAGTTTGGAAAAGTCTGAAGGCCAATCTGCTTCCACAAACACATCTGCATTGTACCCCCTTCCCATGCCACTTCTGGAAGGAGAACAAGTATCGGGGTTATAAGTGGGTAATGTTTTCTGCACATAACCTAAGAGAACTAGATACTCTAGTTAATAAGTCCAAAGAGTCCCATAAAGGGTTTAACCATTTCTCAACCTTGAATTTTTTTTAAGTCCACTTTCTTAAGTGTAAAGCTGTATTAATAATGTAGAGCAACAGGGAAAGGAAAGAAAGGAAAAAGAATAAAAGCTGTTTTTAGTTCTGCTTGCCAAACTGCCAACACATGTTTTTGGACTTGAAAACTTGGAAGACTTTTAACAAGCAGAAAGAGAAAAACTCCATCCCCATTTTATAAAATGGCTGATGTACTACAACCATGCCAATAGCTGGGCTGAGGAAAGGAAGGGAGAGAATCAAACATTCCCCCATATGAGACGATTTCATGGAGTTTATGTGCTGTGCTGGTTATTTAGAGATTACACACATGAAACCTGGATGAAACCTGGATGACATTTAGATCAAAATACATTTGGCTGTATCTAATTTCTACTCCCTAGAGCAGGAAAAGTAGGGAGAAGAGAGCTTTACTTTGTTTAGTCTAACAGGGAAATAGTGAAGGCACAAAATGAAATGTTATAGCTATGAAAAAGCAGCCTAAAAATTCAGCAACACAGCTTATCTATAATGAATTTTCTTCTTGATTTAATCTCCTAATTCATTCATAGAAAGGTCTTGAGGCAAAAATCCTCTCCCTGAGGGAGGTCTCTCCCCAAGCGCCTCACCTCTCTGTATGGGAGCTATCCTGTTTCTTAGTAGGACTGATGGAATCATGGCAGTCAGATTAAGAAGCCAGGAGGTCCAGAGGACCATGAAAAAGAGAACCCTATTTTTGTAAACCAGGAATGTGTTGGCATGTATTCCTCCTAAAAGGTTTTCTATTTTAAGGACAGGGACTATGGATTTTTTTTCGTATAAGAATGATTTCTTGGTCTCTAAGCAAGTCAGTGGACAAGACAACGTTTATAATCAACTTAAAGCTCTGCCCCCCCCCCACCCCGGAGGTACACTGAGACAAAATCTGTGCATGGCTGGAGAGAAAACAAAATGAAGTCTTAGGCTAACTAGAACTGCAGCTTTGCATGACAATACACATATCTTGGCTCCAGTTCAGGCAGGCATGGGTATATGCACATCAGAAGCTCCCTGGCTACAGTGTAGTCCTTGATAAAAGCATCACAGCAGACAAAATTTCAGCATGATATTCTTTTAATTCCTAAAATGCTGTTATTGGCTATTAGCATTTGTGTAGATTTCCTTCATGTTTAAAAATGTGCTTACATACATCCTCAGCTATGATTAATGTACTTTCCCTTCCTACTCTTAGAAAGATTGAGGTGGGAATTGGAAAAGAATGGAGCTTGGAAAGGGAGGCGAAAAATCAGATGCTTCAGATTCCATTCACAAGGAACAAAGGGATCAGAGAATTGGGGGGGTGGGGCGGGGAGAAGA